TATGAAGAAATCATTTTCAAACATTGATTAAAGCCAATCTTAAAATGATTAAACAAACGCCTGTTTGAGACTCCTCAGTGCACACAAAAACATAACTTGGAGAAATAAATAAATACGGATATGTTATTTAAAACCACCTCGAATATGTTGTGTTCATGTTATGAAATGTTTTCTCATAAATGATGCGGTAAGCAGGAGGACAGAATTACGTCTAAACTGACGCCGTTTTGCATTTCTATAGGTTGTAGATACGAGCATGGTTTTATATACTATCACGTTTAATCGTGTTTTATGCCGTTTGCCAAGACTTGATAAGTCGCTCGTAAAACACAGGAGGTATGGAAACTAAGAACACCATATGTGGTAAATTGTACAGCTGATTTAACACAACACATTTGTTTTATTTAATTTAAGTGGTGGGTAGAGTTGTTGCGGTAGCGTTGAGACACACATGGTGCAGTGGAGCCGCTGCGCACAGCTGATCGGCAGCTGGAACACAAACCACGTTTGTAAACAAAGCCCCATCTGTTTGTACATACATGTGCAAACCCAGCTTAATTGCACTCGGTTTACTATCATTTCTAAAAAGGGAAGAACATTACGTTACATCTGAGGTAGGCTATCCTGTGCGTCTGGTGACGGGCACACCTCGGTGTGCAACTATACGTTTCTGTGATTAAAAAAGCTTGCATGGTCTAAAATCAATTATGGATAATAACTTTTAACAGTAGTAGGCTGCAACAAGGGTTAACACAGATTCAGCTTTAGGTGCCTTACATACCATATAGAGTAAAAAGGAAGCCATATAACTAGTATTAATATTCATTATGATTATGACGAATCTTCGTCTTATTATGGTTTTTTGGCGTCCACCTTAATGTCTGACCACTTCTTTTTTATTTCAGCGACAGTGCGACCCTGTGCTGATGCAGAGTTGACAGCATCTGCCACATGCTGCCACTCTCTTGCCTTTTTGGCATTCGTTACGCCAATACTATGGCCACCAAACTAAATGTTTTGCCTTGTCTCTACTTCTCCGACAAGGAATTCAACTTCACAATTTGTGAAGTTTCTTTTCTTGCCACTTTTTTCTGTCTTTGCCATGTTCATTTTTGCCTGAAATCGGTTTGATGAATATTCATTATGGGCGTATCAACGACTATTTATGGGCAAATATGGGTGTGACGGGAAGCCCGCAAAAGCTGCGCCCCATTTAGAGTTGATTGGGATTTCTAAAGGGAAAGAGGCGTAGGAAGTGCCGTACGCACTTCCCTCGCCGGTACGCAATGTTTAGTGAATCGGAAAATGTCGGAAAATTTCTGTACCTATTTTTTTGCTTTGTACTACGTAAGCAACCTTCCCACGTGAATCCTACGCAAGGCGTTATAAATGAGGCCCCTGAAGAGGATTCAGTTTTTTATAATCTAATATATGAAACTGTTCTTTAATGAAATCATGTGAGCAGTTTGTAAAGGGAAAACGCAGCAGAGTACAGCAAGCTAACATTATTTGAGGATATTTCAATATGCAATTATATTATCATTGTATCTGTGTATAAAATGGTTTTAAAGAGCAAGAATGTTGATCATCTAAACTGTTTAATGAAACCCAGTAGAGTACATTAACAAAGTGTAATTGAACTCTTGCTTCTTGTCATCATCAGCAATAGTAAATAATCTACTAGTGAAATCATCCTCACTCTCTACATGTTGGACTTGAATGAATTTTAAAAACAGAAACCCAAAATCACGACTCAACAACTCTACAAATCTTTAATCAGGTGAACAGTCATAGATCAAAAGCTGCTCTTTAGATGAACTAATGATGTTTAAAACATGTTGTTTCCACAGACAGAGAGCAGGGTCTCCAGTCCCCAGCTGTCTGTCTCTGAAGAGTGACTGGTCTATGTGGAATCCTCCAAACTTCAGTAATGAACCTGGACCCTCAGACACAAAGTAAGAGTTTCTACTGTAACCTGACCTGGGGCCTCATTTATAAAGGGATATACGCTAAGAAAATGGCGTGCGCCAGTTTCTAAGCAATGTTTGCGATTTATAAAATACTAACTTGACGGGAAAATGTGCGGCCCTCCACGCAAACTCTAACCCATGCGTACGCACTAAGCACAACAACGGGAGAGACGAGAAACTGCGACACCGTTGGCAGAAGGAAGAATGGAGAGAAATATGTGGAAATAATACCATCAATAAAATGTTACCTCTCATTTATCAAATATGAAGAAATCATTTTCAAACATTGATTAAAGCCAATCTTAAAATGATTAAACAAACGCCTGTTTGAGACTCCTCAGTGCACACAAAAACATAACTTGGAGAAATAAATAAATACGGATATGTTATTTAAAACCACCTCGAATATGTTGTGTTCATGTTATGAAATGTTTTCTCATAAATGATGCGGTAAGCAGGAGGACAGAATTACGTCTAAACTGACGCCGTTTTGCATTTCTATAGGTTGTAGATACGAGCATGGTTTTATATACTATCACGTTTAATCGTGTTTTATGCCGTTTGCCAAGACTTGATAAGTCGCTCGTAAAACACAGGAGGTATGGAAACTAAGAACACCATATGTGGTAAATTGTACAGCTGATTTAACACAACACATTTGTTTTATTTCATTTAAGTGGTGGGTAGAGTTGTTGCGGTAGCGTTGAGACACACATGGTGCAGTGGAGCCGCTGCACACAGCTGATCGGCAGCTGGAACACAAACCACGTTTGTAAGCAAAGCCCCATCTGTTTGTACATACATGTGCAAACTGTTGGAGTAGAATACCTCTGCTACGCGCCGTTCGTTGGATGAGGCTGGATCTCTATTAAATTAAGAAAGGAATTGAAAACACCTGAATCAAAAGTTATAACAATTTTCTGAGTTTACTGGTAGGAAACCAAACACATATACAAGTTATACAGAGTACTCGAGCACTCCGGACTTTCAGGTTTGTGATGCGATGCGGATAAATGCGTCAGGATCAAACCACTCATCAAACCAAAAAGAAATTGGACTTCAGGTTTGTGATGCGATGCGGATACAGTTATCAGGACCTGCCAACTCACCAAACCCAAAAGCATTTTTACACACACAAACATCAGTATTTCTATCTACTTTTGGGGCGGAGATTTGTCGAGTCTTCCTTCCCATTTTTCTCCCAAGCGAATTAGAGAGCCCCTGGGGAGGAGCTGTTTAAACTGACCACCTCCCCCAAGTGCCCTGACTGGCTGGATTCGCTTCTGGCCGGGTTCAATAGTTCTCACCAGGACTTGAAATTCCAAAGTCCCCTAAGGTCAAAAGTCAATCTTTATCTCTACCTTATCTTACTCTACATTCCTTTCCCAGGGGATATTTTCACCTAGTTTACTATCCTCCTTCAGACATTTAAACTCTCCTCCACCTATTTAACGATGTCTTTTAACGACTTAATGACCGCATCTGGCTTTTATGGATGATAAGAAGGATGTTGGTGTGTTGAAACACAGAATCTCTGGATCAGTGAGTTTGAAAGTAAGAATAACATTCCTATTCTAAGTGACTTATCAAAACCCGTTTGTGATTACCTAAAACAGTTCAAACAATACATGTTTACTTCAATACAGTGTAGAATCATATCTTTTTACTTCAAAACCCAGCTTAATTGCACTCGGTTTACTATAATTTCTAAAAAGGGAAGAACATTACGTTACATCTGAGGTAGGCTATCCTGTACGTCTGGTGACGGGCACACCTCGGTGTGCAACTATACGTTTCTGTGATTAAAAAAGCTTGCATGGTCTAAAATCAATTATGGATAATAACTTTTAACAGTAGTAGGCTGCAACAAGGGTTAACACAGATTCAGCTTTAGGTGCCTTACATACCATATAGAGTAAAAAGGAAGCCATATAACTAGTTTTAATATTCATTATGATTATGACGAATCTTCGTCTTATTATGTTTTTTTGGCGTCCACCTTAATGTCTGACCACTTCTTTTTTATTTCAGCGACAGTGCGACCCTGTGCTGATGCAGAGTTGACAGCATCTGCCACATGCTGCCACTCTGTTGCCTTTTTGGCATTCGTTACGCCAATACTATGGCCACCAAACAAAATGTTTTGCCTTGTCTCTACTTCTCCGACAAGGAATTCAACTTCACAATTTGTGAAGTTTCTTTTCTTGCCTCTTTTTTCTGTCTTTGCCATGTTCATTTTTGCCTGAAATCGGTTTGATGAATATTCATTATGGGCGTATCAACGACTATTTATGGGCAAATATGGGTGTGACGGGAAGCCCGCAAAAGCTGCGCCGCATTTCGAGTTGATTGTGATTTCTAAAGGGAAACAGGCGTAGGAAGTGCCGTACGCACTTCCCTCGCCGGTACGCAATGTTTAGTGAATCGGAAAATGTCGGAACATTTCTGTACCTATTTTTTTGCTTTGTACTACGTAAGCAACCTTCCCACGTGAATCCTACGCAAGGCTTTATAAATGAGGCCCCAGAAGAGGATTCAGTTTTTATAATCTAATATATGAAACTGTTCTTTATTGAAATCATGTGAGCAGTTTGTAAAGGGAAAACGCAGCAGAGTACAGCAAGCTAACATTATCTGAGGATATTTCAATATGCAATTATATTATCATTGTATCTGTGTATAAAATGGTTTTAAAGAGCAAGAATGTTGATCATCTAAACTGTTTAATGAAACCCAGTAGAGTACATTAACAAAGTGTAATTGAACTCTTGCTTCTTGTCATCATCAGCAATAGTAAATAATCTACTAGTGAGATCATCCTCACTCTCTACATGTTGGACTTCAATGAATTTTAAAAACAGAAACCCAAAATCACGACTCAAAAACTCTACAAATCTTTAATCAGGTGAACAGTCATAGATCAAAAGCTGCTCTTTAGATGAACTAATGATGTTTAAAACTTGTTGTTTCCACAGACAGAGAGCAGGGTCTCCAGTCCCCAGCTGGCTGTCTCTGAAGAGTGACCGGTCTATGTGGGAACCTCCATACTTCAGTAATGAACCTGGACCCTCAGACACAGAGTAAGAGTTTCTACTGTAACCTGACCTGAAGAGGATTCAGCATTTTGTATCTGATCATCTAAACTAGGGGTGGGGAACCTTTTTCCTCTCAAGGGCCATTTCAATTTTTTCAACATCCTCCGAGGGCCGTACAAATTATTGACCTCTGCTTAGATCTATGGATACATCTCTCAACACGATATGAAACAGAACTGGAAGCAGATTTATTTTTCTTTATGGATATTTTACAAATCACTCCCCTTTCAAACTGTATTCTTGTTTATTAATAACAACTTTTTTTTACTGTCATATAGTATTTTATACCTGTTTACTTTATTCTCTTATTTTTTTATAATAACTGTAATGATCATATAAAGATGTGCTTTTACCTCACTGGTTGTAGAAAAAGCTTCTTATATTCGTTAGCATAGCTAGCTAACCAGATGCTAATAACAACAAAGTTATTGACTGTATGATCAGTGTGACAGATGAACAGATCTCCACTGGGCTTTCAACTAAAGACACAGCCACGCAAACACTGCGGCATGTGTACGGCTCCTTATGGGTACTGACATTTATAGAAGTGCCGGAGCGGCGTTCTGGTGCTCTCCTTCAGCATGTGTCAGACGAAACATATACCACGTGATTAGAGATGGGCGAGTCCTGATTCATCCGGATCATTAACCCGGATCCTAGAAATGAGCTGGTCGTGACGAGTCTCCCCTCTCCATTAACCCGAGTCCTTGAGTCCCACACTTGGTGTGACGTACAAATTAAAACTATAAATTGCGTCACTCGCTACTCTCTTTATAACATGTAAAATCACATTACAACGTACCCCAGTCCATCTGCCTACCCTTTAGCAAGTAGGATAGCTGCCTGCCAGAAGTGATCGTTTGGCTCAGGGGAGGGGACGCGGATCAGTGAAACTTCCTGCAGACTCGTGGGGACTCAGAGGAGCCGACGGCTCCTAACCGTAATAGCATAGCAGATCCAGCGATCCATACTCGTCATGTGCACGAGCATAGCCCCTCCTCCAGCACCCGGCTCCCGCGCTATCAACAGCAGACTCGCAGACTCGCAGATTCGCAAATCCCGACTCGCTGCAACACACAGCAGAGCAGACTCGTGCGGACTCGGAGCCGTATATAGCAGCAGATCCAGAGATCCAGCAGACTCGTCCTCATGCACGAGTCAACAGCAGACTCAGATTCGCCAAATCGCAAAATAACCCTTTTTTTTGTGATCAACATTTTTTATTAAAGCAAAATACACTGTGTAGCGGAGGTTAATATAACGTCAGTTTAATAGATAGATAGATAGATAGTACTTTATTGATCCCAAATTGGGAAATTGTTGTTGTTACAGCAGCATAAAAGGCATTTTACAATAAAACAAAACTACAAAATATACAAGAATAGAAAGAAAAATAAAATAAAATATAAAATATACATGTCGAAATAGAAAATATACATGCAGATATTATATATATATATATATACAAATATATATATATATTCCAAATATATGGAATAATAATATGCTCGTGAAATGCATCAACTTTTCGGTTTCACCGATAGGATTTCTACGGTCTTGGTGATGCTGACTCATATGACTCGTATGATCCGGATCTCTTCAATGACTGACTCAGAAGACCCTGAGTCCGTAAAAGGATCCGGATTTGCCATCTCTACACGTGATGACACGTTAGGCTCGTGTTGTGTTCAAGGACCCTGACCGTGGACAGGAAAAACAGGCACTCGTTTGTTTAATTTTTTTGCGGTCTAGATTTCTTAAATTTCTTTCTTTTTTGCGTGTGTTTATAAATGACCTCGAGGGCCGTACCAAATGGTCTCGCGGGCCGTATACGGCCGGAGGTTCCCCACCCCTAATCTAACCTGTTTAATGAAACCCAGTAGAGAACATTAACAAAGTGTAATTGAACTCTTGCTTCTTGTCATCATCAGCAATAGTAAATAATCTACTAGTGAGATCATCCTCACTCTCTACATGTTGGACTTGAATGAATTTTAAAAACAGAAACCCAAAATCACGACTCAAAAACTCTACAAATCTTTAATCAGGTGAACAGTCATAGATCAAAAGCTGCTCTTTAGATGAACTAATGATGTTTTAAAACTTGTTGTTTCCACAGACAGAGAGCAGGGTCTCCAGTCCCCAGCTGTCTGTCTCTGAAGAGTGACCGGTCTATGTGGGAACCTCCATTCTTCAGAAATGAACCTGGACCCTCAGACACAAAGTAAGAGTCTCTCCTGTAACCTGACCTGAAGAGGATTCAGTTTTTATAATCTAATATATGAAACTGATCTTTAATGAAATCATGTGAGCAGTTTGTAAAGGGAACACGCAGCAGAGTACAGCAAGCTAACATTATCTGAGGATATTTCAATATGCAATTATATCATCATTGTATCTGTGTATAAAATGGTTTTAAAGAGCAAGAATGTTGATAAATTCTGATTTAAAAAAAGAATGATATCGTCCAAAACATTATTTAACTACTTGGGCATGTCTATGATATGTCTTTTTAAGATGTTTATTAATAATAGTGATAACCTGGTGAGCTGGTTGTGTTTAGCATTAGCAGATAAAACAGAGTTTTGTGATATCACATGTAGAGTCAAGACAAAGACCCAGATCTGTGCCTGGCAACAGGAAGGAAGTTAAGATGTTAAATTCATATCACCTGCGTATTCGTGCAGCGAGAAACATTTCAACTTGAGTGTAAAGTTAGTGACGCTCTGTTACAGAAACCTGTCAGAGTTGAGATTGAGCTCCTGTGGTCTCTGACGGTCTGAGGGGAATCAGAGAGGAGAACAGAGCTCTACAGCAGCTCATATTCAATCAGGGTTATTCATGTTCCTGTATAAACCAGAGACTGTCTGTGGTGCTAACAATATAGACACTGCTGTACTTATGACTACATGAAGTTACTCTGAGTGAGGATGGAGCAGCTAATGTTAGCCTAGCTTTAATCAAACCCATCTCTTTAGAAAAAAACATTTTAAAATGTGTTCATGCTCATTGTGTTGGAGACAGACCTGACAAAGCATTAACTCAGGCTTTTTACACATCAGTTTCATTCTGTTGTTATTTAGGCATCCTTTCCATATGTTTATTGCTATGAATTCACAGCAGATTCTATGTTGGGTTTATAAAGCACCAGGTTCATACAGCTGTGTGTAGATACAGGGAACATGTGCTCCTCTGGGTCAGGAATCCAGACAGGATGCTCTCTGGTTTTATGATCATGTGAACTGTAAGCTATCTACCTGATCACAAGGGTATATTATATAGACCTTTTTTATATATCAAACTAGAATCTTCCCCCTTGTTGTACCTTTGGTGAGAATCAGCTCCACTAATGTAAAGTGCTATAAAGGATGTGTTCATCTCCACAGAGGGAAGAGGAAGAGTGGTGTTCCTGTGGAGGAGCAGCTGTCCAGCTGTGCGCTGTGTCAGGACGTCCTGAAGGATCCAGTCTCTACCAGCTGTGGACACTGGTTCTGCAGACAGTGCATCACCTCATACTGGGAGCAGAGACCTCCATCAGGAGACCCCTCCTGTCCCCAGTGTGGGAAAAGATCCAGAACCAGAGCTGGCCTGCAGACAGCCAGTCAGACCAGCTCTGTACGAGGTAAGAGGCCGAACTCATGCAGCGTCTTATTCTTCTTCCTGGTTCCTTTGCTTTTTTTTATTAGGTATTCTGTTGAAGAGCATAGACATTACAATGTTTATTAAACATTTAAACTTTTTTTAAATTAGTTTTATTTAGGGCTGTCAGTCGATTAAAATAGTTAATCGTGATTAATCGCAAATTAATCGCACATTTTTTATCTGTTCTAAATGTACCTTAGAGGGATATTTTTCAAGTTTTTAATTCTCTTATCAACATATGAGTGGACAAATATGCTTTATATGTTTGTTTATTATCATTTGAACAATGACAAATATTCTCATGAATATTAAACACAACAACCTGAACATTACAAATATTCACCTCAATTCAACCTGGAACCTCTCTCATACAATACAAAGTGTGTGTGTGTGTGTGTGTGTGTGTGTGTGTGTGTGTGTGTGTGTGTGTGTGTGTGTGTGTGTGTGTGTGTGTGTGTGTGTGTGTGTGTGGTGTGTGTGTGTGTGTGTGTGTGTGTGTGTGTTGTGTGTGTGTGTGTGTGTGTGTGTGTGTTGTGTGTGTGTGTGTGTGTGTGTGTGTGTGTGTGTGTGTGTGTGTGTGTGTGTGTGTGTGTGTGTTGTGTGTGTGTGTGTGTGTGTGTGTGTGTGTGTGTGTGTGTGTGTGTGTGTGTGTGTGTGTGTGTGTGTGTGTGTGTGTGTGTGTGTGTGTGTGTGTGTGGTGTGTGTGTGTGTGTGTGTGTGTGGAGACACTGTGATGGATCGTTGGAGCTATGTGCAGCTCAAGGCATATATGCTCGAACGGGGAGCTGCCTGGACGCTGCAATCATGTTGCGCGCACTATCCGTGCTGAGTGTGCTGACTTCTCGTACAATGTCCCACTGTCTGGCTACCTGCATCAAGTCAAGTGCTCTGCGCAGTTGTCGGCGAAATGTCGCTCCTCTGTTTTCATTGAAAACAGCTCCTTATATCCGTTAGCGCAGCTAGCTAGCACCAGATGCTAACAACAACAACAACACGTAAGGTGTGCCTCGCTCGCGCCACACATACACACACCCTCCCGGTCCTCCCGATAGACAGTCCGGGCCTGCCGGTGAGCGTGGAAGTGTGGTCTGCCACAAGCGGGCGGCAGGAGCGGGGCTGTCAGCATCAGCTTGTAGATTCAGGGGTGGGCATTTTACGGCCCGCGGGCCACATCCGGCCCGTTGGCCGGCCTTGGCCGGCCCGTGTGAGGTTGATCATAAATTATAACATAATGAAAAAAAACAGCAACCTTTTCAAAATAAAAGCAACACAGTTGTATTGCTTGCATGGCGTAAATACTTTTCTAACTGTGTTGCTTTTATTTTGAAAAGGGCGCTGCTGTTTTTTTAATTTATTTACGTAAACGCTTATGCCGTGAACAGCTACGAGTGATGCTGGCCGGCTAGTCCTCGAAATGTCCGCTAAGGAAAAAAAAAGAAAGATCGATACTGAATGCCGCGTTTTCAACAAGACATGGACCGCTAAGTATTTATTTACAGAAGTGAAAGGTAAAGCTGTGTGTTTAGTTTGTGGTGCGCAGGTCGCTGTGTTCAAGGAGTACAATTTGAGTCGCCACTATGCTACCAAACACGCAGATAAATACAAGAACCTGTCTGAGGAAGAGTGGGCAAAGGGGTCGGATGCTTTGCTAGCTAAGCTGCAAAGCCAACAACACATTTTCACAAAACATTCCACATCCAGAGATGCAGCTGTCAAGACGAGTTATGTCTTAAAAGTTAACCGTTTTCGGAGGGAGAGTTCATTAAGGAGTGTTTGTTGGACACTAATATGCCCGGAGAAAAAGGAGGCATTTGAGAAAGTGCCGCTTTCCCGACGCACTGTTACGAGGAGAATTGAGGACATCGCGGGAAATCTGGAGCTTCAGCTGCAGAACAGAGCGGTCAACTTTGACTTTTTTTCCTTGGCTTTGGATGAGAGCTGCGATGTACGTGACACTGCCCAGCTACTCATCTTCCTACGTGGGATAACTACAGACTTCAAAATCACGGAGGAGCTGGCAGCCATGCAGTCAATGAAAGGGACAACAGCGAGTGATTTGTTCACGGAGGTAAATGCATGTGTGTAAAAAAGTTGGGACTGAAATGGGACAAGCTGGCAGGCGTGACAACGGATGGTTGTCCAAATCTGACAGGGAAAAATGTTGGACTATTGAAGAGAATGCAGGATAAAGTGACAGAAATTAACCCTGAGCAGAAATAGGTATTTTTGCATTGCATTATACATCAGGAAGTGTTGTGTAAGTCAGTGTTAAAAATTAACCATGTTGTTGATGTTGTAACTAAAATAGTTAACTTCATCAGGGCAAGAGCATTGAATCACAGACAGTTTGTTGCACTTTTGGGGAAAGTGAGACTGAACATCGTGACATACCCTACCATGCAGCTGTCAGGTGGCTCAGCCTGGGCAAAGTGCTGAAAAGAGTATGGGACCTGAGAGAAGAGATTCAAGACTTCTGTGTGAAGAAAGGAAACGACATCCCACAGCTTTCAGATGCAGACTGGATGGCAGACCTTGGTTTTGCTGTAGATGTGACTGCACTGAGTGAACTAAATGTCAAACTGCAAGGCAAGGGCCTTTTTGTGCATGACATGTACAGTGCAGTGAAGGCTTTCATGAGAAAGCTGCAGCTTCTCTCAAGCCAAATGGAGGACAACATTCTCACGCACTTGCCAACACTGAAGGAAGCCACACCATCAGCTGATCACCTCCAGAGGTACTCATCCATGTTAGAAGCACTGCATGGTGACTTTTCAAGGCGATTTAAAGACTTCAAAACAGTTGAGAATGAAATGAACATGATCTTTTCCCCATTTACATGCCATGTGGATGATGCCCCCAGTGATGTTCAGCTTGAACTCATTGACCTGCAGTCTGACACACTTCTGTCAGAGCACTTTAGGTCAGTCTCACTGCCTGAGTTTTACTCTTCCCTGAAAGAGGAGAACTTTCCACACATCAGGAGACGTGCTCAGAAGATGATGGTCCTCTTTGGATCTACCTACATATGTGAACAGACATTCTCAGTGATGAAGTTCAACAAATCCAGATACAGATCCTCTATCACTGATGATCACCTCTCAGCTGTCCTTCGCATATCCACCTCAGACATTGAACCAGATTTCCGTGCACTTGTTCAAGCCCAAGACAGACTGGATTTTTCTCACTGAACAAGTCAAATGAACTGAAAAACAAAAATCAAAAGCACTCATTTCTTTTTGTATAAAGCTGATTCATTTCTTATCTTTAACATACTGTAAAACACCTTTTCAGTATTGGTATATTGAGCAGAATTAAGTTCAACTTATTATTGATTCGGCCCCCCAACACAGCTCGAGTTTCTGAAGTGGCCCCTTGTAAAAAATAATTGCCCACCCCTGTTGTAGATGGTATTTTAAACTCGATGCGCTCTGAAACTACGGGGCGCCCGAGGACAAAAAATACACATGCGTTAATTTTTTTTTGCGTTAATTGCGTTGTTAACGCGTTAACTTGACAGCCCTAGTTTTATTGCTAGATTCTCAAAAGCATTTCCTGATTCTCTCCTGTTTCTTCTCTTTCAGCAGATAGTGGTCTGCAGGAGGTTTTAGATGAACATAGGCTCAGTCTGAGGAGGAGATGTGAACGTGTGACTGAAGGAACTGATCAAAGTCAAACCCTCCTCAACAGGATCTTCACTGAGCTCTACATCACACAAGGCCTGAGTGAAGAGGTTAATACCCAACATGAGGTGAGGCAGCTGGAGACATCTTCCAAGAAAGAGACCCTCCATGAAACTCCAATCAAGTGCCAGGACATCTTTAAAGCCTTACCTGACCAACAGACTCTCATCAGAGCGGTCCTGACCAACGGAGTCGCTGGAGTTGGAAAAACCTTCTCAGTGCAGAAGTTCACTCTGGACTGGGCCGAGGGTTTGGAAAACCAAGATGTCAGTCTGGTGATCCCGCTCTCCTTCAGGGAGCTGAACCTGATCAAAGGGGAGCAGTACAGTCTTCTCAGGCTGCTCCATGTTTTCCATCCAACCTTACAGAAGGTCACAGCAGAGCAGCTGGCTGTCTGCAAAGTGCTGCTCATCTTTGACGGCCTGGATGAAAGCAGACTTTCTCTGGACTTCAGAAACAATGAGGTTGTGTCTGATGTCTCTCAGCAGTCCTCAGTCAACGTGCTGCTGACAAACCTCATCAGGGGGAAGCTGCTTCCCTCGGCTCTCGTCTGGATAACTTCCAGACCTGCAGCGGCCAATCAGATCCCTCCTGAGTGTGTGGACAGGGTAACAGAAGTACGAGGCTTCACTGACGCCCAGAAGGAGGAGTACTTCAGGAGGAGATCGAGTGATGAAGACCTGTCCAGCAGAATCATCTCTCACATCAAGAGCTCCAGGAGCCTCCACATCATGTGTCTGATCCCAGTCTTCTGCTGGATCACTGCTGCAGTTCTGGAGCACATGTTGACTACAGACCAGAGAGGAGAGCTGCCCCAGACCCTCACTGACATGTACTCACACTTCCTGCTGGTCCAGACCAAGAGGAAGAAGCAGAAGTATGAAGAGGGACATGAGACGAGTCCACAGCAGCTGACGGAGGCTGACAGGGAGGTTCTTCTGAAGCTGGGGAGGCTGGCGTTTGAACATCTGGAGAAAAGAAACATCATGTTCTACCAAGAAGACCTGCAGCGCTGTGGCCTTGATGTCACCGAGGCCTTGGTGCACTCAGGAGTTTGTACACAGATCTTCAAAAGAGAGAGAGTGATCTTCCGGAAAACAGTCTACTGCTTTGTTCATCTGAGCGTTCAGGAGTTTCTGGCTGCAGTCTACATGTTGCACTGTTACACCAACAGGAACACAGAGGTACTGAAGGACTTCCTGAAGAAAGACTGGCCCTATGAGAACAGTAACAGCAGTGATCAGGAGTACCCATCCCTGGATGTCTTTCTAAAAGGAGCCATGGAGAAATCCCTCAGAAGTAGAAATGGCCATCTGGACCTGTTTGTCCGCTTTCTCCACGGCCTCTCTCTGGAGTCCAACCAGAGACTGTTAGGAGGCCTGCTGGGTCGCACAGACACCAGTCCAGAAGTCATCCAGAGAGCCATCAGCAACCTGAAGGACAAGAGAACAAAAATCTCTCCTGAGAGGAGCATCACCATCTTCCACTGTCTGACAGAGATGAAGGACCACTCAGTGCATCAGGAGATCACAGAGTTCCTGAAGTCAGGGAACAGATCAAAGAAACTCTCTGAGATCCACTGCTCTGCTCTGGCCTACATGCTGCAGATGTCAGAGGAGGTTCTGGATGAGTTTGACCTGAGTCAGTACAAAACATCAGCTGAGGGGAAACAGAGACTGATTCCAGCTGTGAGGAACTGCAGGAAGGCCAAGTAAGTCCAGATGTGATTCACTTTATAAACTAATGTGGATCAGGAGTTTAATTATTCAAATAAACACGATAACATTTCTGCTGTTTAAATACTGAGAGGCGACATGTCAAACACATGAAGGACTTTAGAGGTTCCTCAGCATGTGATCACACCACACAGCAGGACTTACAGTTATCAGTTATTATTACTTTCTAGTAGTTTCTTTATCATTAAACACACACGATTTGATCACAATGTGTTAGAGTTTAAAATCAGATCTATATAATCTCCCACCAATAACAGAGTTATGTCTTAATGCTCATATAGTGAGAACATCTGATGGTATTCAGTTTAAAATATTGAAACTTTATTGGTTTGTTAACTGTGTTTGTGTGCGCAGTACATTTCCAGATGCTCAGAGAAGACAAAACATCCATCATTCACATCCAAATATTAATTAACATTTAAATATGTACATCTCTAATATTGTCAATTGATTTATTTAATTTCTGTTTCTTTGGTAACAGTCAGTGACAGCAGGAGCGCAGACATGTGATCAGATCACACTGACAACACATTACACTCTATTATTATATATTATATAAAATGGAAAAACAGCAAATCTCAATCAGAACATTTCAAATATTTATTCATCAAATGCTTCAAGTTAATATGTTTCCTCTTTTTAACACATGTTGTAATATATGTGTTATTATAGACTGACTAACTGTAGACTCTCAAAGACTCACCGTGAAGTCGTGGCCTCAGCTCTGAAGTCTGACCCCTCCCATCTGAGAGATCTGGACCTGAGTCGGAACGCTCTGAAGGATCCAGGAGTGGAGCTGCTGATATCTGGACTAAAGAGTCCAAACTGCAGACTGGAGACTCTCAGGTCAGTTCACTGACTGAACTTCATCTGTTTGTATTTATGATTTTCTGAATTTGAACAAATACATTTAAATTATTTGTTCCACTTTTGCTAATGACTGCATATTGATCAGAGTAACAGAGAGAAGGTGAATGTGTGAGGGAGAGAGTTTGAGCTTCCACAGACTCACTCTGTGCTCCATGAGTCAGTGGAGATGCTGTCAGTACTGATGAGCTGTGAGGGAGATGAAGGAGTTGATAAACATCTGATCAAAGTTAAAGTTCCAGATTATCAGTGGATTGTTTCTAAATCATCTCTGACATTAAAACCCTGTTTAACTCTGATCAGATTATTAAACCTGGAGTTATTTCAAACAGGAACATTGTTTTCTAAAGTTACATCATGTTTTCTTTATTCAGTCTGTGGAGCTGCAGTTTGTCAGAGATCAGCTGGTCAGCTCTGATCTCAGCTCTGAAGTCCAACTTTCATCTGAGAGATCTGGACCTGGGTAAGAACGATCTGCAGGATTCAGGAGTGGAGCTGCTGAGAGATCTTCTGGAGGGTCCAGACTGCAGACTGCAGACTCTCGGGTCAGTTCACTGACTCTCTGTTACTGCTGGAGATCTCATGTTTCATTAGATATTCATCCTGATTCTTCTACATCATTAACTTACATCCATTCAGTTGTAAATGTTGTTTTATTCATATTTTCATTTGTAGCTACTAAAGTAAGAACTGCAGACTTAGATGTTGTCTGATTCTTGAAGGAACTGGAATAGATGTTAGTTGTAAAAAGTAAATCTAGGTTTTTAATATTTAGTAAACAATAACGTCTGAATAAAGTTCATCTGAAGTAATATTAGTTTTACATTAATAAAGTTTACTTTCTGAAGAAGACATTTTGTTTTTGTTGCCATTCATTTAAATGTTGAGTAACATCTGATTATAAACTGATTTGTATCTTCATCATGTTTTCTTTATTCAGACTGAGGAACTGCAGGTTGTCAGAGATCAGCTGTTCTGCTCTGATCTCAGCTCTGAAGTCCAACATCCATCTGAGAGATCTGGACCTGAGTCTCAACGCTCTGAAGGATTCAGGAGTGGAGCTGCTGAGAGATCTTCTGGAGGGTCCAGACTGCAGACTGCAGACTCTCAAGTCAGTTCACTGACTCTCTGTTACTGCTGGAGATCTCATGTTTCATTAGATATTCATCCTGATTCTTCTACATCATTAACTTACATCCATTCAGTTGTAAATGTTCTTTTGTTCAAATGTGTATTTCTCTAAATGTAGTCTGCAGTCATAACAGTTGATTGTTGCCTAAAGAAACTCTTATTCTTCCTGTTAGTTGTTAAAGTAAATGTATGTTTTCTTTAGTAAATGGTCTGAATAAAGAAGATCCTCTGAACTCATATTAGTTTTACATAAAGTTTACTTTCTGACATAGAAATGTTTATGTTCCCAATCGTTTAGATGTGAACAGAAGGCTGATATAAAGATGATCCGGTCACTGTTATTCAGGGGAAAGTTCATTGATTAGGACGCAGTAATGATGAGCTGCACATTTCAGACTTGAACATCTCATTGGATTAAAGACTGATCTTTATCCTCATCATGTTTTCTTTATTCAGACTGGAGCGCTGCAGTTTGTCAGAGATCAGCTGTTCTGCTCTGGCCTCAGCTCTGAAGTCCAACATCCATCTGAGAGATCTGAACCTGAGTCACAACGCTCTGAAGGATTCAGGAGTGGAGCTGCTGAGAGATCTTCTGGAGGGTCCAGACTGCAGACTGCAGACTCTCAGGTCAGTTCACTGACTCTCTGTTACTGCTGGAGATCTCATGTTTCATTAGATATTCATCCTGATTCTTCTACATCATTAACTTACATCCATTCAGTTGTAAATGTTCTTTTGTTCAAATGTGTATTTCTCTAAATGTCGTCTGCAGTCATAACAGTTGATTGTTTCCTAAAGAAACTCTTATTCTTCCTGTTAGTTGTTAAAGTAAATGTATGTTTTCTTTAGTAAATGGTCTGAATAAAGAAGATCCTCTGAACTAATATTAGTTTTACATAAAGTTTACTTTCTGACATAGAAATGTTTATGTTCCCAATCATTTAGATGTGAACAGAAGGCTGATATAAAGATGATCCGGTCACTGTTATTCAGGGGAAAGTTCATTGATTAGGACGCAGTAATGATGAGCTGCACATTTCAGACTTGAACATCTCATTGGATTAAAGACTGATCTTTATCCTCATCATGTTTTCTTTATTCAGACTGAGGGACTGCTACTTGTCAGAGATCAGCTGTTCTGCTCTGATCTCAGCTCTGAAGTCCAACATCCATCTGAGAGATCTGGACCTGAGTTACAACAGAGAGATGAAGGATTCAGGAGTGGAGCTGCTGAGAGATCTTCTGGAGGGTCCAGACTGCAGACTGCAGACTCTCAAGTCAGTTCACTGACTCTCTGTTACTGCTGGAGATCTCATGTTTCATTAGATATTCATCCTGATTCTTCTACATCATTAACTTACATCCATTCAGTTGTAAATGTTGTTTTGTTCAAATGTGTATTTCTCTAAATGTAGTCTGCAGTCATAACAGTTGATTGTTTCCTAAAGAAACTATTATTCTTCCTGTTAGTTGTTAAAGTAAATGTATGTTTTCTTTAGTAAATGGTCTGAATAAAGAAGATCCTCTGAACGAATATTAGTTTTACATAAAGTTTACTTTCTGACATAGAAATGTTTATGTTCCCAATCGTTTAGATGTGAACAGAAGGCTGATATAAAGATGATCCGGTCACTGTTATTCAGGGAAAAGTTCATTGATTAGGACGCAGTAATGATGAGCTGCACATTTCAGACTTGAACATCTCATTGGATTAAAGACTGATCTTTATCCTCATCATGTTTTCTTTATTCAGACTGGAGCGCTGCAGGTTGTCAGAGATCAGCTGTTCTGCTCTGATCTCAGCTCTGAAGTCCAACATCCATCTGAGACATCTGGACCTGAGTCTCAACGCTCTGAAGGATTCAGGAGTGGAGCTGAGAGATCTTCTGGAGGGTCCAGACTGCAGACTGCAGACTCTCGGGTCAGTTCACTGACTCTCTGTTACTGCTGGAGATCTCATGTTTCATTAGATATTCATCCTGATTCTTCTACATCATTAACTTACATCCATTCAGTTGTAAATGTTCTTTTATTCATATTTTCATTTGTAGCTACTAAAGTAAGAACTGCAGACTTAGATGTTGTCTGATTCTTGAAGGAACTGGAATAGATGTTAGTTGTAAAAATAAATCTATGTTTTTAATATTTAGTAAACGATAACGTCTGAATAAAGTTCATCTGAAGTAATATTAGTTTTACATTAATAAAGTTTACTTTCTGAAGAAGACATTTTGTTTTTGTTCCCATTCATTTAAATGTTGAGTAACATCTGATTATAAACTGATTTGTATCCTCATCATGTTTTCTTTATTCAGTCTGAGTGAATGCAGGTTGTCAGAGATCAGCTGTTCTGCTCTGGCCTCAGCTCTGAAGTCCAACATCCATCTGAGAGATCTGGACCTGAGTTACAACAGAAAGATGCAGGATTCAGATGAGAAGCTGCTGAGAGATCTTCTGGAGAGTCCAGACTGCAGACTGAAGACCCTCAGGTCAGTAAGGGGTCTCTGCTGGTTCAGCAGTATTGTATGAACCACAGGGAGGTGTTTCTCTCACTGGGGAAACAGATCAGTGATGTTACCCACTGACTGCAGGCTCTCTCATTCTTCCATCAACTATAGAAGGCCAGCTGAACATGCAAAGCCACACTTTAGTAATCCACTCTCTAACAGACGGGGTTTTACAGAAGAGTGGGAAAGGTGGTCTGTTCTTATGGGATGTTTTTAGTTCCTTGACTAATGACTGTTACTTCCTGTCATGCAGCTGAGAGCTGTGGCAGGACGTCGTAGTGTTTGCAGAGAAGATATGATGGGATGTAAAGCATGAGATCAGGACTCTGAAGCTGACTCAAAGAACTAACACTTATTTAAACTGGATCTAAAGCTGTTGGATTGTGTTCATCTCTACAGGATCGGAGGACGAGAGCCGATCAGAGCCACGATCCAGAAGACCTGTGAGTACTGAAACCATATCCTCCATTCATCAAGATACTAAACTCTTTAATGGAGCATGACCTCAGAGGAAAACAACACTCTTCTTTCTCTCTTCATCATTCTGTCTGTTTCTCTTAGTTTTATTATCATCATTATTCTCTCTCTCTCTCTCGTCTCAGGTGACAGGAAGTGAAGACACACAGAAAGGTGAGAGGTCGTGCCAAGTGAAGTTTATTTATTGAGGTTTCACCATGGAATAAATGTAGTTATAGTTCAGGGATTCCAGACAAACCCATGAACCCTAAAACGTGTAATTAAAATGTGTGTTTTATATTACATACATATTACATTATATTACATGCAGAGCCTTTCTGTTCAATTAAAACCCAAGGAGATAAACATTTTCAAGGTTAGGTGTTTACAAATGCTTGCTGTTTAATAACCAAATAACAATTACAACAAAAAGCGAGTCAGAAATGTTTGTAAATACATGAAAACACCCAAAAAAATTGGATAAAAAAAATCAGAAACACAGGAGAGCTCCGACATAAAGACGGTACGACTCAGTTCCTAAAGTCTGACTCCATTATTACTTTGTTTGGTGACGTTTCATTATTCTAGATCTTACTGATTATAATTATCCATATTTCTTTTAATAAAGTCCTATGAATAATATATTTTCCCTTTTATCGTATTTTCGACTTCATCCAGATCTCAGGTTCCAGCATCACGTGATTTTTGGTGCAGATACTTGAATTTGGAGTTTTCATGATGTGTCTAATGTCAAAGTAGCGCGCCGTTACTGAATAAGGCATACAGTACATTACATTACATGACATGTCATTTGTCAGGTTGTGGTTAAAAGATCAAAGGGTGGCCAGTGTTTCCCCCCCCCAAAAGGCAAAGGTCCCTTAACCTATTCGGGTGGCCCAAGCATCAAATAAGAAAATACATGCGAGTTCATGGCTACTGTAGACAACATTCTTGTTGCTCTGTGTTGCGTTGTTAATGAGTGAGACACACCGGAGTTGAGGATCTGTGGGGTTTATTCTCCCAAAAATATAATTTACAATTTAGGCATTTAGCAGACGCCTTATTCCAAAGCGACTTACAATGACCAATTACAGGGACATTCTCCCTGGAGTAACTGAGGGCTGAGTGCCTTACTCAAGGGCACACTAGTAGTGGTGTTCCAGGCGTGATTTGAACTCGCAACCTTCTGATCATCAGCCCACCTCACTATCCATTAGACCACCAAAATAAAATCTCATGAACATTTTTTTTTTATGGGATCCAGTTGTGGCGGACTATTTAATTGTGGCGACCCGCCACAAATAAATCAATGTATGGGAAACACTGGTGGCTGAACACGCCTTGAAATGGGTAATAATTCGCTCTAACCAGGGACGTGCACAGACATTTTGGGGGCCAGGGGCTCAAGTGAGAAAAAGGGCACATCCCATAATAATTTATTAAAAAAAATGTAAAACTAAAAGTTAAATAGTTGCACATCTCTGGCTTACCGACCAATTCATTTTAATACCCTCACACTCACGCAATTGTTTAACACTCAACATAATTCTACAAAATAATCAGTTAACACAGAGACAATGGTCTTCTTTAGTATTCACTACGCACAAGAGCAGACAACAACAGAGGAAACTATGCCACAATGTGCATGTTTTCTATGCTACTAGTTAAAATTGCTATAATAATTAGTTTATTTTAGCACAACATTAAGTCCTTTGAATTATTTTTGTGGTATTAAAATAAATAACACTTCAAAATCAACAAAAATCTTCACACAAAACTGAAAAAGGCTGTTCTCTACATAAATACGCAAACCAACCTACACTCCAAACTACAAGTAGGCCTACGTTTAGTTGCAACAATTACACTTAGTGCATTCTGCTCTCCTCTCCTACTCATTTACATCATTTAATTGGACAAAAATATTTATTAAGAACATGCAAAAATACTGCAACTTTACTGAAATTATTTTAAAATGTTTTGAAATCTGAAATTAAATATTTTGTTACTAACTTTCTTTGTATCTTGTATCTTTCTTTGCACTTGGAAGTTGTTAAATATGTTTTGGTGTCTTCACTTGTTGTCTCTCCTTCCTCCCTTACAGCAGCAACCTTCTGGGGGCCAGTGTTTATTACTTCACTGTGGATAACAGGAATGTCCTTCTCAATAGCGAGGAGGAGGAGATCAGAAAGCCTCTCTTCTGTACATTGGCTTCTGAGTGTGTCTTTCACACACTGGCAGCTTAGTCATTTGTTCATCACCACTCACCTTCCAAATAAGCCAAGAAAAGCCGGTATAATGTGGGACAGTAAAGTGGGAGGTGCTGCTACCTGTCTGTCTGAAGGGACTGCCGATGTCCGCACCGCTGTGCGCGAGACGTGGAGGGAGGGAGAGCAGCGGAACTTCACTGTCTAATCTCCCGACCTGATATTTTTATTTTTTATTCAATCAATATATTTTTGGAAAGTGTGCGCAAACAGCAGTAGATACATATTCATTTATTTAAAAAAATAAAAAAATAAAAAGCACCCCATAAAAAGGGCACTTTCTCTGGAGGAAGAAAAAGGGCAGGGGCTCAAGCCCACTTTGAGGTCTATGTGTGCACGTGCCTGGCTCTAACGAAGAGTGGGTTTAAAGGAACAATAAATATGCCATTTTGTGTTTTTGGTGGTCTTTGGTTGTCAACCATTTTTGTTTGTGAAATGTTGAAGTGATCCTACTGTATCTTTATTTCTTCTGTTTTTGTTTTGTTTTTGTCTGTGATGGGAATGTCATCTCCTATATGTTATTGTTATGTCCATGTTTGTGTCTTTAGCCTGTACAAAATAAAAATTCAAAAAATGTGGCGGCCCACTTGCAATGCCTTCACGGACCACTAGGGGGCCGCGGCCCACAGGTTGGGAACCGCTGCTCTAGAGTTTATGGTTCATAGAGTCTCAACAATTTGTCAAACGATAGACACTATAAGACACCAGTTATATTGATTAATAACACTCGGTCCCTTTAGAGCTGAACGTACTCAGTCTGATTGTTTTCTATGTTCCTCCTCTCTTTAACAAACAACCAAACAGAGCCAGAATCAATAACAGAAATACTTAATAATCACAGAGGGACATTGGTTCTAGTAACAGTCAAATAAAACCTTATCTATAATATATATGATGCATGTTTTAGGGGTATTTTTAGTGCACTGCCTAGAGACACTACATACTGATATACACCTGAACATCAGCAGGAGAGGACTCTTTAAAGTAGAGACACTCAGTGGCGGCCGGTGGTCTTTTTTTTTGGTGGGGCTCTTGACGTACCGTAAGTGACCTACCCGGGGGGTCCGGGGGGTTTTCCCCCGGAAACTTTTTTCGAGAAATGACCCCTTAAATGATGACTTCTGGTGATGTTAGAGGGGGGGGGAAAGGAGAAATCGAGGCTTAAAAATATGAGAAGACTGATCAATACCTCCATAATCTTCAGTGTGGAAAATATTATTTATCAACCTGAACATCTACTACTTTACCAGGAATTTGTGTTCTCAGAACTGGTCTGTTTTTTTCTTTCTTAAAACTGTTCATGTTTTATGAACCAACACCTTCACCAAGTAGCTTTACAGTGAACTGCATGTGAGATATCAAATTAATAGCATCTTTTCAGTAGCATTAATTATAAATATTTAAGTGGTTCAATACAAGTCACTACAGCATTTCAAACTGAACTGTGAATAAATGCAATTTAAAAAAAAATAACCACAGCACAAAATGTCATAAATTGTGTTTTTTCTTTGTTTCTCTGAGGATTATTTACAAACAGGCTTATTTACATATAGCAATAACTCAGAAATGAAAAAGCTACATCGTCTAACACGAACAACCACTTAGCATAATGATAATATATGTGTTATGTACAATGTAACTGGCAAGGCTAGAGCAAGAAAGAACATAAAGTTTGCAAAAGGTTTAAATAACTTCAAGTATCTGTCTTCAGATTACGTGGAGGTTTTAGTCCGATGGGAAGCAGATTTTAAGCGACACCGAAGATAAACCAAAAATGTGGTGGAGCTGCAAACCGTGTAGTGTTGCTGGGACAGAACAGGAGCTATAACCGTTGGAAAATACATCACAGACAATGCAACAAACGTGGAGACAGAACAATCACTTCTGTGATAAATGCCCACTTATTAATAAACTTCTAACAACCATGGGAAACCTCCTCTCTACATATAAAGTGATATCCAAGCATGGGAAACAAAAGACAGCATTTACCTGTTTGCATCCAGCTAGCCAAGCCTTTCTTGTGTACCAGCTACTTGTGAAGCCTCGTGTATAAATGTTGTCTTTTTCACGAGATTGCTGCGATATATTCAAATCGGGTTGGTCCGGTGCAAGGTCTTTAAGCAACAATTTATCTGCCAAACTTCTCCTTTCGAAAGGATTGGAGATTAGCTCTTGAACAGAATTAGCCGGGGACCGAGGTCCGGAGACTCCACCTGCACACGAAGCCATCCTCATCAACTACTGCGTCAACCGGATACGAGTCACTGTCCAAACTACTCACAGACTGCACTGGGCGCTGACATTGGCGCCCGGTGACCGTCATCTTTGACGACGCTGATTGGCTGAAATTATATTTTCGCGGCATAGTTTACACGTTACAGATAGCAACAGTCAGCTGCTGGTGGCTGCTGCTGCACTGGTTGAAGGCTCCTCTCTTAGCGCCCAGACGAGAGAAGGTGCATGGGCAAGGCCAGGCAGGAAACATGTGACTTATCAGTAACTTTAGACATCGTAACACAATTTTAAACGAGATTTTATTGTAGATTATACATTTTACTGATACCAATTATATAATATTTACCTTGTTCATTAAAAATAAAAATAAAAACATATATATTTTTTTAAACATATATTTTTTTTTAATTTTAATTTTAATTATTATTATTATTTTTTTTTTTCAATATGGGAAGAGGTGGGGCGGCGCCCCTAGCGCCCCTATGGACCGGCCGCCACTGGAGACACTACATACTGATATACACCTGAACATCAGCAGGAGAGGACTCTTTAAAGTAGAGACACTACATACTGATATACACCTGAACATCAGCAGGAGAGGACTCTTTAAAGTAGAGGCACTACATACTGATATACACCTGAACATCAGCAGGAGAGGACTCTTTAAAGTAGAGACACTACATACTGATATACACCTGAACATCAGCAGGAGAGGACTCTTTAAAGTAGAGACACTACATACTGATATACACCTGAACATCAGCAGGAGAGGACTCTTTAAAGTAGAGGCACTACATACTGATATACACCTGAACATCAGCAGGAGAGGACTCTTTAAAGTAGAGACACTACATACTGATATACACCTGAACGTAAAGTCCATAGTAACGCTTTCGGTGTCAAAACATAAAATACTGCTTTAATAAAGTTTCAATTTAAACTGAATCAGATTTTATATCGGAGGAAAACGCTGCCATCAAAATGATTAAACCCCGCGAAGATATATAAATATTTTTTGCTGTGAACACATTTCTGCTTCCTCTCTTTTTTCCGACCCCTTCGCTGTCGTTCTCTGTAATAACTCACTCTGCCAGGCCATGAATAGTTAATACTCTGGAGGTGGGAAGAATCTCAAACAGAGCGGGCAGATGCTGCTGTACCACAGAGCCTCTGATGAATTAGGATAAGCTTTTGACATGTTAAACGCACACTGGAGAATACCTCCATCCGTCTTAGTAATACCTCGTCTTGTGAAAACATTGCCATGCTACAGTTTAGTTTAGTTTATTTGTTTATAGTGTCGTGGACAGTCCCCATTGATCAGCTGTCACAAAAAACAGTAAATGTTGCAGCTTTAGCCGACATTGCTAATTTCCAGTTGCTGTCCACGACCAGATGATAATAGACACCTTTTTAAAATACATCAACAGCATTAGTTATAAAGAAAGGATGAAAGACAAGGAGATACAGGCGAAAGGATAAAAGAGAGCATTAAACAACTCACGTTACTACATACAGTACATGTCACATATAGCACAGCAGAAACATCCTGTCCGTGCATCCTCACAACATAAATATCATATTCTTTTTTCCATCGGGTTGCAGTCGGGTGAAAGAAGTCTTATCTTTTGTGTTGTCTGGCTGTCTGCATTTCAATTTTACACCCCAGTGGGCTCTGTTAAACCAATGCAGACACAGAGAGACCTTTTGAAAGAAGTCTAAATGCCGTTAGAAGAGGGCTGGCTCCCGGTGAGATTATGAAAACTTCACGATGTGATTGCTCAGAGTCTGTATATCGGTGGGAGGTCTCATCGTGTGTTCATCAGGGAGATAAAAAACACTTGCATACAAACACAGACACATTACAGAAACACAGGAGCGTTGTTATTCACTCACTCTTATGAGTCAAAGCAGGAACAGGTGATTCCCTCGTCTCCTCCGTAAGATACACAGACTCACGCTCTGTTGCTATGGCACCAAGAAAGTGAAAGAAAGCTCTATACATGAAGATACTCAGTCATCGAGGTTATGGGATGTCTAGAGGGTAAGGTATTTGTTCTTCCTCCTAGAAAACGTATGAACATCTCTAACAAGTGTGCTCGCTTTTGACTTTGAAAAAAGACTGAAGTCGTACTTCTTCGTGTTCAAATCTATTCATCTTATTTAGCCCTGTCCCCTTTTCCACTTCTGTTTCATATGTGTAAGTTTGTCTGGTTTAGCACTAGCTGCAATGTAAACAATACTTTTGATTTGGGATCATTCTCAGATACACTGCGGCGATAGGATGGTTTTACAGCATCCATATTCTGTAAGTGACTGCAGGATGACATATGGAAAAGGCCAAAAATCACATATGTTTATTAACTCTGTTGTGTCTTTTAGTGTAGATGGCTCCGTTATGATGAGCTACGAACGTTTATAATAACTCTCACTGCCAGAAGAGGACACAACGGCCAACAAAACAATGTAATAAAAACAAGTTAACCTACAGATCAAACTATAGTGTGATATCTACTAACTAGCAAATGTTAGCTATCTATCCAATAAGCTGGCTAGCGAACTCTATATATCTATCCATCTTGCAAACATTAGCTGCTGTATCTACTTCACAAGCTAACTAACTAACTAACTAACTAACTAACTAACTAACTAACGAGTAATTATAAAATCATGGTGACGTGTTTTATTTAAGCCAAACGAGCCGCTTTCATACAGCAGCAGCTCCAAACATCGCCCTAAATTCTGAAATGTACATGTAACCCTAACCCTAACCCTAACCCTATAATTAACTTTCGTTTTAAGTATTCAACCTAATATGGAGATCTCAACAGTGGCGAACCGTGTCTATCACAACTGGACCTTCTGTAGACACACACACCCCCCCCGCCGCCGCCGCCCTGACGGTTCGCCACTGGATCTCAACACCCTTTAGTGGGGTATTTACAGACGGAGAATTAAAATCTGTTCAGCTTGTGTTAACCATAGAACCATATGAGGCTTACAACCAAAACACATTCAGACAACCATTGACTTTCAGACAGGAAGTGGTGGAATGCTAAGTCTTTTCCAGGGTTTTCAGACTCATTCTTGCACCTCTCTATTGCCAGACACTCAGGGTTCGTACGGGTGCTGGAAATCCTTGAAAATGCTTGAAATTTAAAGTGGACCTATCATGCTATATTTGAATAATATAGTGTAGGACCATACCTATATAAGGCATATTTATACTTTTTTTCCTGTCTGTCTGTAACTTTGTGTGGTAGTGTTACCACTGACAGGTCTCTCTTGAAAATGAGACCTTGTGTCTCAATGGGATTTTACACCTGTATAAATAAAGGCTAAATAAAAATAAAAATAAAAATGTCTTTTATTTTATCTCACTGAACAAAGTCCCTGTGTGTGAACTGCTTCAGCTGAGGAGGCTGGATATGAAACAGAGGGGGGAGCTGCAGAGAGAAAGGGAAGTTGAAAAGGAAGTAGGAAGAATGAAGTCATACTTGTCAGACTGCCAGACACCATTTTACAGCTCGGAGCAGGAGGACAACAACAGGGTGAGTGTTAACACCAGGATCTGCTTTCTAACACATTCATTATTTACTCTGTTTTACTGGATGTCAGAAAATAATACTTCTTGGTTAAAAATCTGCGTCCTAGAGTCCATTGAGACTTCTGCAAGTGTTGTAAACTTTTATTATTTCCTTTTTCATGAGTCATCAGAGTTACATAACATGTGACAGCCCAGCGCAGACAAAATGGAGAATGGCCTGAAGTCTCATACATTTCATGTATTTGAACCAAGTTTATTATTAAGGTGTGTGTGTGTGTGTGTGTGTGTGTGTGTGTGTGTGTGTGTGTGTGTGTGTGTGTGTGTGTGTGTGTGTGTGTGTGTGTGTGTGTGTGTGTGTGTGTGTGTGTGTGTGTGTGTGTGTGGTTTATCACTCAGACTGGAGAAGATGAGTGATTTAAAAGTTGAGGAAGAGGACAAATCTCCAGTCCCCAGCTGTCTGTCTCTGAAGAGTGACGGGTCTATGGGGGACCCTCCAGACTTCAGTAATGAACCTGGACCCTCAGACACAAAGTAATAGTTTCTACTGTAACCTGACCTGAAGAGGATTCAGTATTTTGGTATCTGACATAGCCGTGGGAACATGTTTGAAATGGGGGTGCTGTGGGGATGACACCAGGGCCGGTTCTGACCAGTTTGCTGCCCTAGGCAAGATTTCAGCTGGCAATGAAAAACCTCTACAAAAGACCAACACACTACAAACAGAGAAACCTATTGACATGGTGGACAGCTTATATAAAAAGGCTTCAAATGTATTTAGTATTGTATGAACATGTTTTAATTGGGGGGTGGACCTCACATCCTCTAGGGGGGTCCGGGGGTATGCCCCCGCCCCCCCCCCCGGGAAGATTTTAAAAAACATTTAAAAGTAAAATGGTGCACTTTGAGCGCCCAATCACTAGAGACCTGATCTAGGGGGTACAACTTTAAACACCCATATGAAAAAGATCGGTTTGCATTTAATATTAATAATCAAATAAGTATGTGAACATAACCAATAATCTACCATAGCCAATAACAAATAAATGTAACTTATTTTATTTTTGTGGTTCATTTATATCTTATTTTACCAGTTAACATTTATTTATGCATATTTGTTTATCTCTCCAGTTTTAAACGATATGTCTGGTTTACTGTCCTATAGTATACACTGGAATGATTTCAAACCTGTTTTTATTTATCCCAATAATTATAAAGGAGTGCCTTGGAAATATTTGTTTACATGAATTGTGATCAAACCGTTTGAGAGCCACTGAGATAACTTAGACTAAAGTGAACTATCTGACACTGAGAGTCCTTCACCTCACTGAGCCTCAGTCTGACAGGAGAGCTCTCCCTCCACATCATTGTAGAAACAGCTTCTTATATCCGTTAGCGCAGCAGAAGCTAACAACAATCCCGGCCGGTACCGGTGCGCCCTCTCTCTCTCTCTCTCACTTTGCCTGTGAGCTGCGGGCGCCTGATAAGCCAACATCCCCCACTTTCATCACTTACAGCGCCTATCGTACAGGGAGAATGGAAAATGTAACCGGGGGGAAAAGGGTGCTATCTTTAATTAATTATGAATGTTGTTACATCAAAGCTAAACATTCGTATTTTTTGTATTATATTTCTATTTAATCTTGTGGACGTGCAGATTCCCTGTCCTCCATCAGAGGATGCTTCAGCACCCTCAGCACCCCTACTTCCCACGGCCATGGTATCTGATCATCTAAACTAGGCGTGGGGAACCTTTTTCCTCTCAAGGGCCATTTCAATTTTTTCAACATCCTCCGAGGGCCGTACAAATTATTGACCTCTGCTTGACCTGTTACGCACCGCCCCCCCGGTACCGGGCGGATAAACGCGTCATTTGCAGGAAACAACGTCTAAGGAATCTTAATATTTAATAAACTATGAATGTTTTATATCCATGTAACGGGAAGAAACTCAGCTAACTGATCTTTTTAATTTTTTTTTCTCCAAAAAAACCCCAAATGCCTCTGAATTAGCCACCCGTGAAAAAATGTAACCTAAAACTGCACCTAAACTCACTCATAACTCCCTTATTACTTATCCTAGATGCACAGCCAACCACCCGTTTTGCATCTCCTGGAGACACAGAATCTGGGGGTGCCCACCTCAACACTCAGTGATAAACATTTGCGACGCTAGAAACGAAAGCGTACATCATAACATGTGGAGCTAGGTAGCTAGAAACGCTAACATGGCTTACCTTGGTCAAAACTGGTCTTCAATGGCATTAAAACGATAAAAAACGATGCTGCAGTTAATCCATAGGTTAATCCAATGTGTCTGTGCCCTCTTTGAAATGATTTCTGATAATCCATAAGCAATAAAACTGCTTTTTTGTTTCCAAATGTCAGAGCGAGAGATCGGTCCACTCTGCTGCAAAATTACATGCGCGAAGCCCCCACCGCTTGTTTTCATAACGAGTGTGTGTGGGGGCCTCCCCCTTCGATTCTATTGGCTCTAACGGTCAGAAAGAGGTGTCAACCATCAAAATCGACCAAGGGGGGCCAGAGATATGGGAAAAAAAACATTTTCACCCAAATCACCTCAGAGTTGGGGTGGTTTTGGCTAAACCTCTCTAAAAAGGTCAAATGTCACTTGTTTTGCATCAATCTTGATACAGGGTACTTATTATATGTTGTACTTTGGATTCCTAAAGCTTTTAGTCTACTAACCCATCATCCAAGGGTAGTTTTCACTATAAGTAAAAAATAATTTTTGGACGGACACTATAATTTACAGTTCTTTACTATGTAAAATCTGAATTTTCTTTAAAATAAAAAACATCTATATTGATTCTGACACTTCTACATCCAACTCACAGATGTAACCTTGCTTTGATAAAAGAAATTATGCATATAACCCTTTTAGAAGTTAAGTTGTAGTCATTTGTTTTGGGCATGTCATTTTCGAGCCTGAAACATGAAAAACAGGCTTGGTGCTTAACAGGTTAAAAATACTACGTGCACTGTGTGGCATGACCACCAAAACAGAAAGATATGGACACAAGATGTGTGCAAATGTATTTAGTTTCCTATCCATGTGGACATGATTTAACTGTAAGCTATCTACCTTATCACAAGGATATATTATATAGACCTTTTTTTAAATATCAAACTAGAATTTTCCCCCTTGTTGTGCCTTTGGTGAGAATCAGCTCCCCTAAAGTAAAGTGCTATAAAGGATGTGTTCATCTCCACAGAGGGAAGAGGAAGAGTGGTGTTCCTGTGGAGGAGCAGCTGTCCAGCTGTGCTCTGTGTCAGGACGTCCTGAAGGATCCAGTCTCTACCAGCTGTGGACACTGGTTCTGCAGACAGTGCTTCACCTCATACTGGGAGCAGCGCCCTCCATCAGGAGACCCCTCCTGTCCCCAGTGTGGAAAAAGATCCAGAACCAGAGCTGGCCTGCAGACAGCCAGTCAGACCAGCTCTGTACGAGGTAAGAGGCCGAAAACATGCAGCGTCTTATTCTTCTTCCTGGTTCATTTGTTTTTTGTATTAGGTATTCTGTTGAAGAGCATAGACATTACAATGTTTATTAAACATTTAAACTTTTTTTAAATTAGTTGTATTGTTAGATTCTCAAAAGCATTTCCTGATTCTCTCCTGTTTCTTCTCTGTCAGCAGATAGTGGTCTGCAGGAGGTTTTAGATGAACATAGGCTCAGTCTGAGGAGGAGATGTGAACGTGTGACTGAAGGAACTGATCAAAGTGAAACCCTCCTCAACAGCATCTTCACTGAGCTCTACATCACACAAGGCCAGAGTGAAGAGGTTAATACCCAACATGAGGTGAGGCAGCTGGAGACATCTTCCAAGAAAGAGACCCTCCATGAAACTCCAATCAAGTGCCAGGACATCTTTAAAGCCTTACCTGACCAACAGACTCACATCAGAGCGGTCCTGACCAACGGAGTCGCTGGAGTTGGAAAAACCTTCTCAGTGCAGAAGTTCACTCTGGACTGGGCCGAGGGTTTGGAAAACCAAGATGTCAGTCTGGTGATCCCGCTCTCCTTCAGGGAGCTGAACCTGATCAAAGAGCAGTACAGTCTTCTCAGGCTGCTCCATGTTTTCCATCCAACCTTACAGAAGGTCACAGCAGAGCAGCTGGCTGTCTGCAAAGTGCTGCTCATCTTTGACGGCCTGGATGAAAGCAGACTTTCTCTGGACTTCAGAAACAATGAGGTTGTGTCTGATGTCTCTCAGCAGTCCTCAGTCAACGTGCTGCTGACAAACCTCATCAGGGGGAAGCTGCTTCCCTCGGCTCTCGTCTGGATAACTTCCAGACCTGCAGCGGCCAATCAGATCCCTCCTGAGTGTGTGGACAGGGTAACAGAAGTACGAGGCTTCACTGACGCCCAGAAGGAGGAGTACTTCAGGAGGAGATCGAGTGATGAAGACCTGTCCAGCAGAATCATCTCTCACATCAAGAGCTCTAGGAGCCTCCACATCATGTGTCTGATCCCAGTCTTCTGCTGGATCACTGCTGCAGTTCTGGACCACATGTTGACTACAGACCAGAGAGGAGAGCTGCCCCAGACCCTCACTGACATGTACTCACACTTCCTGCTGGTCCAGACCAAGAGGAAGAAGCAGAAGTATGAAGCGGGACATGAGACGAGTCCACAGCAGCTGACGGAGGCTGACAGGAAGGATCTTCTGAAGTTGGGGAGGCTGGCGTTTGAACATCTGGAGAAAAGAAACATCATGTTCTACCAAAAAGACCTGCAGCGCTGTGGTCTTGATGTCACAGAGGCCTTGGTGCACTCAGGAGTTTGTACACAGATCTTCAAAAGAGAGAGATTGATCTTCAAGAAAACAGTCTACTGCTTTGTTCATCTGAGCATTCAGGAGTTTCTGGCTGCAGTCTACATGTTGCACTGTTACACCAACAGAGACACAGAGGTACTGAAGGACTTCCTGAAGAAAGACTGGCCCTATGAGAACAGTAACAGCAGTGATCAGGAGTACCCATCCCTGGATGTCTTTCTAAAAGGAGCCATGGAGAAATCCCTCAGAAGTAGAAATGGCCACCTGGACCTGTTTGTCCGCTTTCTCCACGGCCTCTCTCTGGAGTCCAACCAGAGACTGTTAGGAGGCCTGCTGGGTCGCACAGACACCAGTCCAGAAGTCATCCAGAGAGCCATCAGCAACCTGAAGGAGAAGAGAACAAACATCTCTCCTGAGAGGAGCATTAACATCTTCCACTGTCTGACAGAGATGAAGGACCACTCAGTACATCAGGAGATCACAGAGTTCCTGAAGTCAGGGAACAGATCAAAGGAACTCTCTGTGATCCACTGCTCTGCTCTGGCCTACATGCTGCAGATGTCAGAGGAGGTTCTGGATGAGTTGGACCTGAGTCAGTACAAAACATCAGATGAGGGGAAACAGAGACTGATTCCAGCTGTGAGGAACTGCAGGAAGGCCAAGTAAGTCCAGATGTGATTCACTTTATAAACTAATGTGGATCAGGAGTTTAATTATTCAAATAAACACTATAACATTTCTGCTGTTTAAATACTGAGAGGCGACATGTCAAACACATGAAGGACTTTAGAGGTTCCTCAGCATGTGATCACACCACACAGCAGGACTTACAGTTATCAGTTATTATTACTTTCTAGTAGTTTCTTTATCATTAAAACACACAATTTGATCACAATGTGTTAGAGTTTAAAATCAGATCTATATAATATCCCACCAATAACAGAGTTATGTCTTAATGCTCATATAGTGAGAACATCTGATGGTATCAAGTTTAAAATATTGAAACTTTATTGGTTTGTTAACTGTGTTTGTGTGCGCAGTACATTTCCAGATGCTCAGAGAAGACAAAACATCCATCATTCACATCTCAATATTAATTAACATTTAAATATGTACATCTCTAATATTGTCAAGTGATTTATTTAATTTCTGTTTCTTTGGTAACAGTCAGTGACAGCAGGAGCACAGACATGTGATCAGATCACACTGACAACACATTACACTCTATTATTATATATTATATAAAATGGACTAACAGCAAATCTCAATCAGAACATTTCAAATATTTATTCATCAAATGCTTCAAGTTAATATGTTTCCTCTTTTTAACACATGTTGTAATATATGTGTTATTATAGACTTACTCACTGTGAACTCTCAAAGACTCACTGTGAAGTCGTGGCCTCAGCTCTGAAGTCTGACTCCTCCCATCTGAGAGATCTGGACCTGAGTGAGAACGCTCTGAAGGATCCAGGAGTGGAGCTGCTGATATCTGGACTAAAGAGTCCAAACTGCAGACTGGAGGCTCTCAGGTCAGTTCACTGACTGAACTTCATCTGTTTGTATTTATGATTTTCTGAATTTGAACAAATACATTTAAATGATTTGTTCCACTTTTGCTAATGACTGCATATTGATCAGAGTAACAGAGAGAAGGTGAATGTGTGAGGGAGAGAGTTTGAGCTTCCACAGACTCACTCTGTGCTCCATGAGTCAGTGGAGATGCTGTCAGTACTGATGAGCTGTGAGGGAGATGAAGGAGTTGATAAACATCTGATCAAAGTTAAAGTTCCAGATTATCAATGGATTGTTTCTACATCATCTCTGACATTAAAACCCTGTTTAACTCTGATCAGATTATTAAACCTGGAGTTATTTCAAACAGGAACATTGTTTTCTAAACTTACATCATGTTTTCTTTATTCAGACTGGAGCGCTGCTGGTTGTCAGAGATCAGCTGTTCTGCTCTGATCTCAGCTCTGAAGTCCAACATCCATCTGAGAGTTCTGAACCTGAGTGAGAACGCTCTGCAGGATTCAGGAGTGGAGCTGAGAGATCTTCTGGAGAGTCCAGACTGCAGACTGCAGACCCTCAGGTCAGTTCACTGACTCTCTGTTACTGCTGGAGATCTCATGTTTCATTAGATATTCATCCTGATTCTTCTACATCATTAACTTACATCCATTCAGTTGTAAATGTTGTTTTGTTCAAATGTGTATTTCTCTTAATGTAGTCTGCAGTCATAACAGTTGATTGTTTCCTAAAGAAACTCTTATTCTTCCTGTTAGTTGTTAAAGTAAATGTATGTTTTCTTTAGTAAATGGTCTGAATAAAGAAGATCCTCTGAACTAATATTAGTTTTACATAAAGTTTACTTTCTGACATAGAAATGTTTATGTTCCCAATCATTTAGATGTGAACAGAAGGCTGATATAAAGATGATCCGGTCACTGTTATTCAGGGGAAAGTTCATTGATTAGGACGCAGTAATGATGAGCTGCACATTTCAGACTTGAACATCTCATTGGATTAAAGACTGATCTTTATCCTCATCATGTTTTCTTTATTCAGACTGAGGGACTGCAGGTTGTCAGAGATCAGCTGTTCTGCTCTGATCTCAGCTCTGAAGTCCAACATCCATCTGAGAGATCTGGACCTGAGTGACAACGCTCTGAAGGATTCAGGAGTGGAGCTGCTGAGAGATCTTCTGGAGGGTCCAGACTGCAGACTGCAGACTCTCAGGTCAGTTCACTGACTCTCTGTTACTGCTGGAGATCTCATGTTTCATTAGATATTCATCCTGATTCTTCTACATCATTAACTTACATCCATTCAGTTGTAAATGTTCTTTTATTCATATTTTCATTTGTAGCTACTAAAGTAAGAACTGCAGACTTAGATGTTGTCTGATTCTTGAAGGAACTGGAATAGATGTTAGTTGTAAAAAGTAAATCTATGTTTTTAATATTTAGTAAACGATAACGTCTGAATAAAGTTCATCTGAAGTAATATTAGTTTTACATTAATAAAGTTTACTTTCTGAAGAAGACATGTTTTTGTTCCCATTCATTTAAATGTTGAGTAACATCTGATTATAAACTGATTTGTATCCTCATCATGTTTTCTTTATTCAGACTGGAGAACTGCAGTTTGTCAGAGATCAGCTGTTCTGCTCTGATCTCAGCTCTGAAGTCCAACATCCATCTGAGAGATCTGGATGTGAGTGCCAACTATCTCAAGGATTCAGAGAAGCTGCTGAGAGATCTTCTGGAGAGTCCAGACTGCAGACTGGAGACCCTCAGGTCAGTAAGGGGTCTCTGCTGGTTCAGCAGTATTAGGCGCGTTCACACCAAGTACTTTTCCCACAGTAGTTCCTGAGAACTTAAGTTCATGAGAGTTCTTTTAGTTCTGACGAACTAAAGCAGATCGCGTTCACACCAAAATGAGTTCCTGGGGGTGGATTAGGCAAATGAGCCGCTGACGTCACTTCTTCTTCTTCTGCTTAGCTTTTCCTGGCAGGCCGCAAACAACTTCACGGCGAGTACAGTAGGTGGCGTTATGCACCTTAAAGTTGCAATCCGCCAAAAAACCGAGAGAAGAAGAAAAAAAACTTCCGCTTCCGCTGTATGCTTGTGTTTACCTTCCGACCTCAGTCAGACACACTATGGAGTTGACTGAAGTTGTGGTTTTGGTGCTGAGTTATTTAAGCCAATAACTCAGCCACAAATACAGATCGCGGTTAAGAAGCCTTAACAAAAGGACTGGACGGCGACAAGCACACGCTATGGACATGTTTCGTCAGCTGAGGATGATGACCGTTATCACGCCCAAAGAACAGCAATGGTACGTTCAGTAAATCACATTAATACTATCTAATGCAGGATTTATGGAGTTATGTAGGGCTAATTTGTGTCTTTGTATGTATTCCAGATATGCGAATACTACGGAACGCGTCGTGTCCCGCGCTCTCTCTGGGTGAACCTCGGCCTGGTGCACACCAATGTGCAGTGGATCAAAGTGGATCTTTTCAACTCCTCTGTATTCGCCTGGAAGCAACCATTGGGGAGACGCAACCTAAACAAATCGCCACGGGGCAAGACACGCGCACAGCCCTTGAGGCATCTGAACAGCATGGAAATTGTAAATTGACAATAAAGCTGATCTTTTGTACTGTGCATTTGGTTCTCTCTTTTATTTACCACAGTCAACAGACACAATTACAATAGTGCAGACACACCTTTGTGCAAAGATGAAATGTCAGTATCAAAACAGTACTCATACTGTATATTTGTATATTAATATGAGTATATTATTATGTTAAATGTGTGTTAAAGACAATGGGATGAGGTTGAAAGCTCTTTAAAAAGCTTTTGTATACCATCTTTACTGTGATAAATACATACATGTTAAGCATACACATCTGAAGAACTACGTTACACACACACACACACAGGTTAATCTGTGTACCGCTGCACTGCTGCTGGTTTAAACAAAGACAGTCATGATGCTAGTGCCGTGCATGTAGGTTCTCTTTTATTTATCAGAAGCAGATCAATAAGTGTCAGTAGTATCAAAACAATATAATAACAGTGGCAATATATATATAATCACAATAATACAAAATTAACTGTCCCAGGTGTAGGCAATTTGGGGTGAAGTGTCTTGCCCAGGGACACAACGACATCCTGACTGCAGTGGGGTTTGAACCTGTGCTCCCCTGATCCGAACACCAACGCACCAGACCACTGCATCACACGCCTCCCAACAAGTCATTGTACAGTTTATCAACGACAAGTTTTTCTTAATTTTTGTATTGAAGGCCTGTTGGATTTAATCAGCTCGCTTAGCACTGCCAGAAGCCCAGCCTGAAAGGTATTTTGTTGCTCCAGCTCGATTCCTGGGCCTTGTGTGAATGCAGCAGCCGTTCGTCGTGCATCTCCTTGGCACGCAGGTCCTCATTCTCCTTGCTGACCATGGCACGGCAGTCCATGGTGTCAAGGAAGCTGTCATCGCGTGCCCACTTTCCTAAGGTGAAATATGCAAGATACAAGATCAGTTTAATCGCAACAACGACACAACATTGTCCAAATACCAGAAGGGGAGCAGCCCATAACAGAGAGCCCCCCACGTCAGAGTCATCACTGTGGGCGATCTCCACCTCTGAGGCCCAATCCCAAACCACTCCCTCGACCCTACCCCTCCGTGACGGAGTGAACTCCGTCTGTAGCCACACTCGCAGCTCAACGAGGCTCCCTCCTGTCAGATGGAGGGAGTAAATACAGCGGCAAGCTTTGGGACAAACTCCCCTCTCTCCGGCAGAAACAGGAAATGCCGTAACTGTATGTAACAACGGTTTCAAATCAGCTTCTCTTAGACAAAAAATGTAAATTAATAACTCAAATAAAACTCCAAACATCTTTCATTGTGTTACTTTTTTGTAAAGCTCTTTTAGTTTTAAACCTGATGTTTATAAGCTTCTTAGTTTTTGCAACAGTCGGTAAATATACACAACTTTATAATAAAATGCACACATTTACCTTTTTCTAGACTAACCACAGGTATGATCCTAAGTTAAAAAAATATGAGGTTATCATGAGGTTGTTAACATCGCAATTTATCAGTGGATGTTTGCTGGAACTACTTTTTAACAGCGTGTTTCCTGACGGACACACACAGCGTGACTCCGGTCAGGTAGAGACCGGTCTCAAGTCAGCACCGATGCAGACTCGCTGTTTGAGGGCTTGATAGCCCACTCCCCCTCCACACCTCTCCACACTCGTTGGTTTGGAACAGCACTTAATGTGGCGGACCCTCCGCGCGAACAGAGGGGTAGTGTGTAGGGGTAGGGTGTAGCATGTCGTTGTGTCCCCGAGACACTTCACCCCAAAGTGCTCCTGTGGGGATTGCCCACAGTATTGAGTAGGTAAGCTTTGGATAAAAGCGTCTAACAAGTGACATGTAATGATTCAAAAAGCTTTTGGTGGCCATATTGAATAACAAACCAATGTGGTTTACTTGTTATCCACAGTTTAGCTGCTAAATGTTACCTTTACAAAGCTACGCTGAAAACACAGCAAAGTTCATATAACGGTATTAGGTTAGTTGAAACTAATATTTTTATAGTTAAACTCAACACTTTTCTTTGTGCTCCACATATCTAAATGTATAAAGTGTGTTTTCACCTCCGTTCCCTCCTGTTTGCTGCAGTATGGCAGCAGCGGTCAGGATGGGATCCTCTGTGATCAGATAGTGGTCCTGATGGTGTCCGCTGACCGGGCGCAGGCTGCCTACTCTCAGCAGGGGGGAACTGAACGTGGAAACTGTGTTTCTCTGAGGGATCCTCCATGTAGTCTGAGAAGCCTTCTGAGGAAACAAGGTCAAACTATTTAGGATAATACTATGAGAAGGAACAATGTTAAGCCAGTAAATAGAATTTCAATTACATTTCTACTTAAATGTGCAAAAATATTAGAACATCAGTCTTTGTGGCATGCAGGTAATCAACTGTTTAAGCTTTTACCATTAACATGTAGAATGAATGTTGCAAATTACTTGAAATTAGAGCAACTACAATCTATTGTTTACCTCAGTGTAGCCACACAGGTCCAGCTAGCATGCTAATTGCTAACGTTATATTATCGAGTTATCCCGGAGGGGAAAACTAGTTTCTAATCCTGAGAGAAACACCTCGCCTGAAACACACGATTAGTGCCATGAGTTAGTGAAGCAAATTACAGAACATTGCACACTTATTCACAAGTCAAAACGTGTTCATAGCGGGCATGGATGAGAATAGCTAGCTAGCTAGATGTTATTAGCCTGTTTGGACCTAACGTTAGCAAGTTCTACCGTGGCTAGCTCGATCTACTGAGCAAATAAAAGTACATCTAAGACCAGTATTGTGCAGATTAAAACAGTGCAGTGCATGTATTTTATTTTACCTTGGTAGTCGTCCCGACATGACTTTGCCAGGTCTGCTAACTTTGCAGAGCCACAGCAGAAACTGCATTCAGTAGAAGCTTCTGAATGTGGCGCTTCGCGTCCTCCGAGTCAATCGCCAGAAGCGCAGACACATCCTCATCCTCATCACTCCACCGCTCCAATTGATTTATTTAGTGTTGCTATAATAACTGCTTTCACAAAAGGAATCTCTTCGTGTGTGCTGCGAAGCGAGGAAATACAATGGCCGCTTACAACAAAAAATTCTGAGTCAAACGGGCGTGGTTTGCATTCCGCACAGCCAATCAGACGTAGGAACTACTTTCTCCCACGAAAGACCCTGCTCTGTGGCAGGGACTGAAAAGCGAGTCTCGCGAACTAAGTTGAGCTACTTTAGTTCCTGGGGCTTTTTGGTGTGAACGCAAATATATCGTAGTTCTGATGAACTATTGTGGGAAAAGTACACCAAAGTACTCCGGTGTGAACGCACCTATTGTATGAACCACAGGGAGGTGTTTCTCTCACTGGGGAAACAGATCAGTGATGTTACCCACTGACTGCAGGCTCTCTCATTCTTCCATCAACTATAGAAGGCCAGCTGAACATGCAAAGCCACACTTTAGTAATCCACTCTCTAACAGACGGGGTTTTACAGAAGAGTGGGAAAGGTGGTCTGTTCTTATGGGATGTTTTTAGTTCCTTGACTAATGACTGTTACTTCGTGTAATGCAGCTGAGAGCTGTGGCAGGACGTCGTAGTGTTTGCAGAGAAGATATGATGGGATGTAAAGCATGAGATCAGGACTCTGAAGCTGACTCAAAGAACTAACACTTATTTTAAACTGGATCTCAAACTGTTGGATTGTGTTCATCCCTACAGGATCAGAGGAGGAGAGACGATCATAGCCACGATCCAGAAGACCTGTGAGTACTGAAACCATATCCTCCATTCATCAAGATACTAAACTCTTGAATGGAGCATGACCTCAGAGGAAAACAACACTCTTCTTTCTCTCTTCATCATTCTGTCTGTTTCTCTTAGTTTTATTATCATCATTATTCTCTCTCTCTCTCTCGTCTCAGGTGACAGGAAGTGAAGACACACAGAAAGGTGAGAGGTCGTGCCAAGTGAAGTTTATTTATTGAGGTTTCACCATGGAATAAATGTAGTTATAGTTCAGGGATTCCAGACAAACCCATGAACCCTAAAACGTGTAATTAAATTGTGTGTTTTATATTACATACATATTACATTATATTACATGCAGAGCCTTTCTGTTCAATTAAAACCCAAGGAAATAAACATTTTCAAGGTTAGGTGTTTACAAATGCTTGCTGTTTAATAACCAAAGAACAATTACAACAAAAAGCGAGTCAGAAATGTTTGTAAATACATGAAAACACCCAAAAAAAAAGAAAAAAAAAGATTGGATAAAAAAAATCAGAAACACAGGAGAGCTCCGACATAAAGACGGTACGACTCAGTTCCTAAAGTCTGACTCCATTATTACTTTGTTTGGTGACGTTTCATTATTCTAGATCTTACTGATTATAATTATCCATATTTCTTTTAATAAAGTCCTATGAATAATATATTTTCCCTTTTATCGTATTTTCGACTTCATCCAGATCTCAGGTTCCAGCATCACGTGATTTTTGGTGCAGATACTTGATTTGGAGTTTTCATGATGTGTCTTATGTCAAAGTAGCGCGCCGTTACTGAATAAGGCATACAGTACATTACATTACATTACATGTCATTTGTTAGACGCTTTTATCCAAAGCGACTTACATACATTCAGTTCTGTGGACAATCCCCACAGGAGCAATTTGGGGTGAAGTGTCTCAGGGACACAACGACATGCTGACTGCAGTGGGACTTGAACTTGGTACCCCCTGATCCCAAGTCCAGCACTCTATCTACTGCCTATAGATCAAAGTGCAACTAAAAATATTGATTTGCTTCTAAATAAGGTTGTGGTTAAAAGATCAAAGGGTGGCCAGTGTTTCCCCCCCCCCCAAAAGCCAAAGGTCCCTTAACCTATTCGGGTGGCCCAAGCATCAAATAAGAAAATACATGCTAGTTCATGGCTACTGTAGACAACATTCTTGTTGCTCTGTGTTGCGTTGTTAATGAGTGAGACACACCGGAGTTGAGGATCTGTGGGGTTTATTCTCACAAAAATATAATTTTCAATTTAGGCATTTAGCAGACGCCTTATTCCAAAGCGACTTACAATGACCAACTACAGGGACATTCTCCCTGGAGTAACTGAGGGCTAAGTGCCTTACTCAAGGGCACACTAGTAGTGGTGTTCCAGGTGGGATTTGAACTCGCAACCTTCTGATCATCAGCCCACCTCACTATCCATTAGACCACCAAAATAAAATCTCATGAACATTTTTTTTTTATGGGATCCAGTTGTGGCGGACTATTTAATTGTGGCGACCCGCCACAAATAAATCAATGTATGGGAAACACTGGTGGCTGAACACGTCTTGAAATGGGTAATAATTCGCTCTAACCAGGGACGTGCACAGACATTTTGGGGGCCAGGGGCTCAAGTGAGAAAAAGGGCACATCCCATAATCATTTATTAAAAAAAATGTAAAACTAAAAGTTAAATAGTTGCACATCTCTGGCTTACCGACCAATTCATTTTAATACCCTCACACTCACGCAATTGTTTAACACTCAACATAATTCTACAAAATAATCAGTTAACACAGAGACAATGGTCTTCTTTAGTATTCACTACGCACAAGAGCAGACAACAACAAAGGAAACTATGCCACAATGTGCATGTTTTCTATGCTACTAGTTCAAATTGCTATAATAATTAGTTTATTTTAGCACAACATTAAGTCCTTTGAATTATTTTTGTGGTATTAAAATAAATAACACTTCAAAATCAACAAAAATCTTCACACAAAACTGAAAAAGGCTGTTCTCTACATAAATACGCAAACCAACCTACACTCCAAACTACAAGTAGGCCTACGTTTAGTTGCAACAATTACACTTAGTGCATTCTGCTCTCCTCTCCTACTCATTTACATCATTTAATTGGACAAAAATATTTATTAAGAACATGCAAAAATACTGCAACTTTACTGAAATTATTTTAAAATGTTTTGAAATCTGAAATTAAATATTTTGTTAATAACTTATTTTGTTACTAACTTTCTTTGTATCTTGTATCTTTCTTTGCACTTGGAAGTTGTTAAATATGTTTTGGTGTCTTCACTTGTTGTCTCTCCTTCCTCCCTTACAGCAGCAACCTTCTGGGGGCCAGTGTTTATTACTTCACTGTGGATAACAGGAATGTCCTTCTCAATAGCGAGGAGGAGGAGATCAGAAAGCCTCTCTTCTGTACATTGGCTTCTGAGTGTGTCTTTCACACACTGGCAGCTTAGTCATTTGTTCATCACCACTCACCTTCCAAATAAGCCAAGAAAAGCCGGTATAATGTGGGACAGTAAAGTGGGAGGTGCTGCTACCTGTCTGTCTGAAGGGACTGCCGATGTCCGCACCGCTGTGCGCGAGACGTGGAGGGAGGGAGAACAGCGGAACTTCACAGTCTAATCTCCCGACCTGATATTTTTATTTTTTATTCAATCAATATATTTTTGGAAAGTGTGCGCAAACAGCAGTAGATACATATTCATTTATTTAAAAAAATAAAAAAATAAAAAGCACCCCATAAAAAGGGCACTTTCTCTGGAGGAAGAAAAAGGGCAGGGGCTCAAGCCCACTTTGAGGTCTATGTGTGCACGTGCCTGGCTCTAACGAAGAGTGGGTTTAAAGGAACAATAAATATGCCATTTTGTGTTTTTGGTGGTCTTTGGTTGTCAACCATTTTTGTTTGTGAAATGTTGAAGTGATCCTACTGACTATCTTTATTTCTTCTGTTTTTGTTTTTGTCTGTGATGGGAATGTCATCTCCTATATGTTATTGTTATGTCCATGTTTGTGTCTTTAGCCTGTACAAAATAAAATTTAAAAAAATGTTGGCGGCCCACTTGCAATGCCTTCACGGACCACTAGGGGGCCGCGGCCCACAGGTTGGGAACCGCTGCTCTAGAGTTTATGGTTCATAGAGTCTCAACAATTTGTCAAACGATAGACACTATAAGACACCAGTTATATTGATTAATAACACTCGGTCCCTTTAGAGCTGAACGTACTCAGTCTGATTGTTTTCTATCTTCCTCCTCTCTTTAACAAACAACCAAACCATCATCAGAGCCAGAATCAATAACAGAAATACTTAATAATCACAGAGGGACATTGGTTCTAGTTACAGTCAAATAAAACCTTATCTATAATATAATATGATGCATGTTTTGGGGGTATTTTTAGTGCACTGCCTGGAGACACTACATACTGATATACACCTGAACATCAGCAGGAGAGGACTCTTTAAAGTAGAGACACTACATATACTGATATACACCTGAACATCAGCAGGAGAGGACTCTTTAAAGTAGAGACACTACATACTGATATACACCTGAACATCAGCAGGAGAGGACTCTTTAAAGTAGAGACACTACATACTGATATACACCTGAACATCAGCAGGAGAGGACTCTTTAAAGTAGAGGCACTACATACTGATATACACCTGAACATCAGCAGGAGAGGACTCTTTAAAGTAGAGACACTACATACTGATATACACCTGAACGTAAAGTCCATAGTAACGCTTTCGGTGTCAAAACATAAAATACTGCTTTAATAAAGTTTCAATTTAAACTGAATCAGATTTTATATCGGAGGAAAACGCTGCCATCAAAATGATTAAACCCCGCGAAGATATATAAATATTTTTTGCTGTGAACACATTTCTGCTTCCTCTCTTTTTTCCGACCCCTTCGCTGTCGTTCTCTGTAATAACTCACTCTGCCAGGCCATGAATAGTTAATACTCTGGAGGTGGGAAGAATCTCAAACAGAGCGGGCAGATGCTGCTGTACCACAGAGCCTCTGATGAATTAGGATAAGCTTTTGACATGTTAAACGCACACTGGAGAATACCTCCATCCGTCTTAGTAATACCTCGTCTTGTGAAAACATTGCCATGCTACAGTTTAGTTTAGTTTATTTGTTTATAGTGTCGTGGACAGTCCCCATTGATCAGCTGTCACAAAAAACAGTAAATGTTGCAGCTTTAGCCGACATTGCTAATTTCCAGTTGCTGTCCACGACCAGATGATAATAGACACCTTTTTAAAATACATCAACAGCATTAGTTATAAAGAAAGGATGAAAGACAAGGAGATACAGGCGAAAGGATAAAAGAGAGCATTAAACAACTCACGTTACTACATACAGTACATGTCACATATAGCACAGCAGAAACATCCTGTCCGTGCATCCTCACAACATAAATATCATATTCTTTTTTCCATCGGGTTGCAGTCGGGTGAAAGAAGTCTTATCTTTTGTGTTGTCTGGCTGTCTGCATTTCAATTTTACACCCCAGTGGGCTCTGTTAAACCAATGCAGACACAGAGAGACCTTTTGAAAGAAGTCTAAATGCCGTTAGAAGAGGGCTGGCTCCCGGTGAGATTATGAAAACTTCACGATGTGATTGCTCAGAGTCTGTATATCGGTGGGAGGTCTCATCGTGTGTTCATCAGGGAGATAAAAAACACTTGCATACAAACACAGACACATTACAGAAACACAGGAGCGTTGTTATTCACTCACTCTTATGAGTCAAAGCAGGAACAGGTGATTCCCTCGTCTCCTCCGTAAAATACACAGACTCACGCTCTGTTGCTATGGCACCAAGAAAGTGAAAGAAAGCTCTATACATGAAGATACTCAGTCATCGAGGTTATGGGATGTCTAGAGGGTAAGGTATTTGTTCTTCCTCCTAGAAAACGTATGAACATCTCTAACAAGTGTGCTCGCTTTTGACTTTGAAAAAAGACTGAAGTCGTACTTCTTCGTGTTCAAATCTATTCATCTTATTTAGCCCCGTCCCCTTTTCTACTTCTGTTTCATATGTGTAAGTTTGTCTGGTTTAGCACTAGCTGCAATGTAAACAATACTTTTGATTTGGGATCATTCTCAGATACACTGCGGCGATAGGATGGTTTTACAGCATCCATATTCTGTAAGTGACTGCAGGATGACATATGGAAAAGGCCAAAAATCACATATGTTTATTAACTCTGTAGTGTCTTTTAGTGTAGATGTCTCCGTTATGATGAGCTACGAACGTTTATAATAACTCTCACTGCCAGAAGAGGACACAAAGGCCAACAAAACAATATAATAAAAACAAGTTAACCTACAGATCAAACTATAGTGTGATATCTACTAACTAGCAAATGTTAGCTATCTATCCAATAAGCTGGCTAGCGAACTCTATATATCTATCCATCTTGCAAACATTAGCTGCTGTATCTACTTCACAAGCTAACTAACTAACTAACTAACTAACTAACTAACTAACTAACTAACTAACGAGTAATTATAAAATCATGGTGACGTGTTTTATTTAAGCCAAACGAGCCGCTTTCATACAGCAGCAGCTCCAAACATCGCCCTAAATTCTGAAATGTACATGTAACCCTAACCCTAACCCTAACCCTATAATTAACTTTCGTTTGAAGTATTCAACCTAATATGGTCAACTGTGGCGAACCGTGTCTATCACAACTGGACCTTCTGTAGACACACACACCCCCCGCCGCCGCCGCCCTGACGGTTCGCCACTGGATCTCAACACCCTTTAGTGGGGTATTTACAGACGTAGAATTAAAATCTGTTCAGCTTGTGTTAACCATAGAACCATATGAGGCTTACAACCAAAACACATTCAGACAACCATTGACTTTCAGACAGGAAGTGGTGGAATGCTAAGTCTTTTCCGAGGTTTGAGGACTCATTCTTGCACCTCTCTATTGCCAGACACTCAGGGTTCATACGGGTGCTGGAAATCCTTGAAAATGCTTGAAATTTAAAGTGGACCTATCATGCTATATTTGAATAATATAGTGTAGGACCATACCTATATAAGGCATATTTATACTTTTTTTTTTCAAAATACCAAACAGATCATGCATTTTAGCCATGCCTCATTTTGCTCAATTTGAAAAATGTTAGCTCTGTTTTTGCAAGGGCAGATTCAGTGAGAACAGCACCACCTACAGGCCTGGCATATGTACTACAGCGTCTCCAGCGCTTTCGAACGGCAATGGCCGTGGCTGTCTCCTCCTGATTGGTGGAGTTGGCCCAATAGCCGTAGCGCCACCGTCCTGACGTCAGGACAGTGTTCAAATCTGGATCAGTTTTTATCAGATCCGTTGCAGCCCCTTTTTTAGAGATTTGGGTATGGAGGAAAATAGAGAGGGTTGTGTTTTCTGACACTTGGTGAGTTCCCTGGAACACCGGGGACACATATTCATGTATAAAAGACGTACAAAAGTGCATTTTGCATGATAGGTCCCCTTTAAATAAAAACATCTATTTTGATTCTGGCTTTTCTCATCCAATAAACCGTCACGGTAGCATTACCTTACTGATCCCTCTTATAATAGAAAAAAACACGTTACTTTACCAGCAGAGAGAAGATGGATTATTACATTATTAATGTGACTAATAAAGAGCACTTTGATTATTAAGTATTATTCTGTTGATGGATGTCATTACATTTGGTGAAAAGCTCATAATGACTTGTTTAAGACTCGTTTTTTCAAAGTTTAGGACTTGGACTTGACTTGAACTTGCCCATCCTGACTTGAGACTTGACTCGGACTTGAGTGCAAGACTTGAGACTTACTTGTGACACACACATCTTGTAAATTAGTAGCTTTGTGTTTTTATTTAAGTCGCTGTTCATAGTTTTTTATATAAAGCAGATTTAATGATATCCTATGGTCGTTGATGTGTGGATGCGGTGTCGTCTTTTGATAACTTTGTTGAGCTTGTTTTTAGCTTGCCTCTGTGTTTAGTGTCCTGTCTGTCTGTAACTTTGTGTGGTAGTGTTACCACTGACAGGTCTCTCTTGAAAATGAGACCTTGTGTCTCAATGGGATTTTACACCTGTATAAATAAAGGCTAAATAAAAATAAAAATAAAAATGTCTTTTATTTTATCTCACTGAACAAAGTCCCTGTGTGTGAACTGCTTCAGCTGAGGAGGCTGGATATGAAACAGAGGGGGGAGCTGCAGAGAGAAAGGGAAGTTGAAAAGGAAGTAGGAAGAATGAAGTCATACTTGTCAGACTGCCAGACACCATTTTACAGCTCGGAGCAGGAGGACAACAACAGGGTGAGTGTTAACACCAGGATCTGCTTTCTAACACATTCATTATTTACTCTGTTTTACTGGATGTCAGAAAATAATACTTCTTGGTTAAAAATCTGCATCCTAGAGTCCATTGAGACTTCTGCAAGTGTTGTAAACTTTTATTATTTCCTTTTTCATGAGTCATCAGAGTTACATAACATGTGACAGCCCAGCGCAGACAAAATGGAGAGCGGCCTGAAGTCTCATACATTTCATGTATTTGAACCAAGTTTATTATTAAGGTGTGTGTGTGTGTGTGTGTGTGTGTGTGTGTGTGTGTGTGTGTGTGTGTGTGTGTGTGTGTGTGTGTGTGTGTGTGTGTGTGTGTGTGTGTGTGTGTGTGTGTGTGTGTGTGTGTGTGTGTGTGTGTGTGTGTGTGTGTGTGGTTTATCACTCAGACTGGAGAAGATGAGTGATTTAAAAGTTGAGGAAGAGGACAAATCTCCAGTCCCCAGCTGTCTGTCTCTGAAGAGTGACGGGTCTATGGGGGACCCTCCAGACTTCAGTAATGAACCTGGACCCTCAGACAC